CTAATATGAAGAGCAGCTTCTGGTTGCAAAACTTTAAAAATGTTTTATTTTCATTTGTACTTTATCAAATTTATTTTTACTTTTTTTAATTTGAAACATTTGCATTAAACATATTTAATTTATTTATTTTATGCCCACAATTTTTTTTGAATTGTCTATTTTTGCTATTGTTTATATTAAAATTTATATTTTTGTGCTGATAAGCCTGAGTGGTCTGTTGACTGACCTTTGTTTTTGTTCAAATAATAATTATGGGCAGGTTACAATATAAAAATGTTTGTCATAATCATGGCTTGTGATTATTTGACAGCAGTTTAACTTTTAAACTGTAAGTGTATTTAATTTAGTTATGTTAGTTATGATAGTTTAGTTATGATGTAAATACAATGAAAATTAAACTAAGATTTATAATAATTGTCATTTTGATCCATACATTGGTAACGTCTGACTGGGCCTCGTGACAGTTTATGTTCAATAAATTGGGCCCCGAGATCAAAAGGGTTAAGAACCCCTGATCTAAAACGTTATAATGTGACAGAGTCCTAACACCCTTCTACCTACACCACAGGTTCTCAAACTGGGGTCCCAGGACCCCCGGGGGTTCATAAGCTCTATCTTAGGGGAGTCCTCAAAATTTTCAATAAGTTGTTAATTTAGATTTTGTTTTAAAAAGTGAATATGGACTAGTAAAACAAACATAATAACCAAACAAAAAGTAATATTCCCATAGTATTTAGGAGTTCAAATGACTGTAAATTATTTCTAAAACAGCATGGGCTTTATGAGGGGGTCCCGGGAAGTTTTTCACATTTGTTGGAGGTCCCCAGACCCAAAGAGTTTGAGAACCCCTGCTCTACACACAAACCACCTCACACTGGCCTCTTTAGGTTTATCTTCCAGTAGTTGTTCAGCATGTGGAGAAGGGTTGGACATAATCGTATCGTGTGAAATTAATCATCAGAAAAACATTAATTGATTAGTTTTTGGCTCTTGACGATTAATAGTTAATTTAAAAAAAGTCAAAGTTTAATACAATTTAAAAGAAAATATAAGGAGGCTATTTTTTCAGGATATAGAAATATGAATGGGTGAGTGGGTGTATAAATGGGTATATGTAAATTAATAAGTGTATATGATGGTATGTGTATAGCTGGATGAATGCAGTCACCATAAATGTGTGTGTAGTGCGCTTATGCAAAAAAAAGGCAAATGTGAAATGGAAAAAGATTTACTTAAATCTTGATGTTTGTTCAGGTGGATTAGATTCATGTGTTCATTTATGTATCCTTTAATGTGTAGATATGAGGAGTGATTGTAACACAAAGGGTTGTACAAGGGTAAATATAAATTTACATTGTAATTTAATGATTTACTAAATCAGCCCTGAGGTTTATTATTATTATTATATATCATTTGAAAATAGTTCAGGGTAGGAGTTTATAAGTTTTTTTACTTCTTTCTACACCATTTCGAACATGTTGAGATTATTATTGTCATAATATATGAGCCTCTCCTTGGGCTGCTACCTTATCGTGGTGGAGGGGTTTGAGTGTCCCAATGATCCTAGGAGCTATGCTGTCTGGGGCTTTATGCCCCTGGTAGGGTCACCCATGGCAGACAGGTCCTAGGTGAGGAACCAGACAAAGCGCAGCCCGAAGACCCCTTATGATGCAAACATTGGATCTGGTGTTCCCTCGCCGGGACGCGGGTCACTGGGGCCCCCCTCTGGAG